GAGTGGACTTCAACTCCCAGAATTCTCCCAATTCTGGGAGTTGAAGTCCACTCATCTTAAAGTGGCCAAGTTTGGACAACACTGACCTAGGGCAAGCACAGCTCTTACTTATGGTGGGATGGCCACCAAACCAAAGCTTGTGCTCAAACTGACAGTGCAAGGTGGCCTTCAAAGCGGTTGTGCCACGTTTCTGCAAGGATGTGTTACTTTAATGCGTCAAGCTGTGGCTTCAGAGGGATGTGAACACAGCTTCAAAGCCCTACCTCAAGGCACCCTTTACAAATGCATCATCACGCTCTGCTCAAAGCTTGGAAATAAAGGGTTTTAGTAGTAGAACTTCCTGGGTTTTCTTTTTCTCTAGCCTGCTCTCCCCTCCCGCGAGATCCATGATCTTCATTCAGGGCAAATTCTCCAACCTCTCCCAATTTTTTCAGGATCAGACTAGAGAATGCCAAGTGGGCACCAAAGCATTTTTAAGCAGTGTCCGTTTAATGCTGACCTTTTTCTACATGTCTGGCAAGTTTCGCATGCGTAGTTGGGATCGCAGAAGGTACCATTCTTGCAGGCACATTCAGTATTTGTGGTTGCAGTACACTTCTTTATCTCTACCTGATCTGGAAAGAGAAGACATCACAAATTTAGAACTACAGCCTAGCTGCAATTTCTGAATAGCAAAGAAGACACCAACTAAGAGCACGCTGCATGCTAGCTGCCATGTTAGCCCATGATATCCTTAACCATGATTTATTGAGATAAGCACAGGTGGTTGCATTACCAAAAGCAAATACATCTCATTTTGGCTGAGTGTGACATGGGAGCTCATTCTTAGAATGCAATCGTGGGAACCTTTCCATAAAGACAACGGTGGGCCTTAGGTTTCATTTCATTTCTTCAGTTCATTGGATTTATAACTTTTTGTTGTTTAAAAGCATTGTTTCAAACACAAGAAATCAGGCTTGTAAGTCTTAAGCCAGTGTTGTCCAAACTTGGCCACTTTAAGATGAGTGGACTTCAACTCCCAGAATTCTCCCAATTCTGGGAGTTGAAGTCTCCTCATCTTAAAGTGGCCAAGTTTGGACAACACTGGCTTAAGCTAACAACGTCCGCCTTGAAAATGGGGGAGCAAAGAGTTTCTGGAGACTTCCAGAAACCCAAAGACTTTGGTACAGGCTTAAGCCAGTGTTGTCCAAACTTGGCCACTTTAAGATGAGGAGACTTCAACTCCCAGAATTCCCCAGCCAGCCATGCTGGCTGGGGAATTCTGGGAGTTGAAGTCTACTCATCTTAAAGTGGCCAAGTTTGGACAACACTGGCTTAAGCTAACAACGTCCACCTTGAAAATGGGGGAGCAAAGAGTTTCTGGAGACTTCCAGAAACCCAAAGACTTTGGTACAGCAGTTCGTCAGCCTAAGTGTTCCCTGCTTTCCTGCATCCTGTCCCTGAAAACACACTTCTCCCTGTATGCATCAGCAGGAGAAAAGCCTCTTCTGTGTCCCACTGTGAAAGCAGGACCTAATACAGAGATGCAAGAAAGGGCCTTCTTGACTGTAGCACTGTGTTTATTAAACACCCATGGGTCCAAGAAGTGCCAAGACGGGCTTCACTGAAGAATCAAGCAAGGCTTTCACTCAAGCTCTTGATTTAAAATGTTGGAAGCGGTTCAAAGTCATCTGCTTGTTTTACTGATTCTGCACGATGCTAAACTGCAAACAAACCATATTGCCATTGAGCATGACGCGTGGCCCAGCCATTATACATTTCTTTTACAAGTTCTAACCATCTAAGGCTCACATGATTTGCGGATAGTCACTCCTAAGAAAGGTTCTTCATTCTGAACTATTCTTCCCCAGCCTGGTGTTTTCCAGCTATATTACACTTCGACTCTCATTATCCCTACCCAGCATCCGAACTTTCATTAAGCAATCCTGAACCAGCATGTTGATTAGCAACCTAAGATCACACCCTTGAATGCCAGCACAGTGTTTTAACTTGAAATAAAGATGGGAATGAAAGGCTTCCCACTCTCTTTCCTTCCTTCAACTCTCCTGTGAACTCTGCAGAAACAGGTTGAAGATGTTCAGCTCCTACCAGTAGAATTATCACACCACTAGATTATTTGTTATAGCTCAGATTCCGTGTTGTTGCTTTCAAACCCTTGTCCAAACCTTGTATGATTCTCCATTTTTAGCGGTGAGTGCAGACTAAAGCTATCCCATGCACAAAGGACACAGAAACCCCTAAAACTGTCTCTATCCTTAATACCTAAAGGTCTGCAGACTTGACAAAAGAAGCATCTGTTGAGTGAATTCGAGTACTTGCTGAATGTGCCATTTTGACAGGGTTGGCAAGTCACGTCAGTGTCGGGGCATGTACAGGACCTAGAGACGTAATAACCTGGAAGAAAGCAAAAGACATAGAAACTAAATATATATTAAAAGACAGAGGTTCTTTAGGAACTGCAGACTTATCCATACACCTCAGGGTTCAGCTTATGGCTGTCGATATGTTGCACAAAATAAAGGCAGAATACAAATCTAATACACAAATAGACAGCAATTAGCACTGCTCTCTTCCTGGTTACATCTATCCATCCCATCAAATCCGGCAGAGGCGGCATGTTGTGGGTCCCACCTACAAAGGGGTTCCATCTGATGAGGCCCAGGAGGAGAGCCTTTTCTGCTGTGGCATCTGCCTTCTGGAACATCATTCCCCCCTGAGGTTAGATTGGTCCCAACCTTGTTTGTCTTTAGAAAGTCCCTGAAGACATGGCCGTGCCATCAGGCCTGGGGATCTCGTAGAAGTGAGGAACCTGCAAGATGACTGTATTGTTTGTGAGCTGTAGGTTGGCACTCTGAGATTTTTATGCTCTGGGTTATTTGTTTTAATGGGTTTTGTTTTTAACTTTATCTATGAGTTGGATTTTTGTTGTTTTAACCTGTGAGCTACCCAGAGTCACGTATGTGAGATGGGCGGTTATATAAATTGAATAAAACAAACTACTACTGTCTGTACAGTGTGGAAGTGTCTCAGCATTGAGTCTAGAAGCAGACATGCGTCAACCAAATGGAAATCTGGCTTCTTTAGCGCAAGGATACACTGCAGATGTGCTCAGAAATACATATATTACATGCTCAGAGATACATGCAGTATTTGTTATAAACCACCCAGAGTTGTTTTACGAGACGGGCAGTGACAAACGTGATGAATGAATGAATAAATAAATAAAATACATATATCAAGGGAAGCAGGTATGGAAGTTCATCAGAAGTAGCACGAGCCTACTCATTGGAAGGAAGGAGGGGAAGCTGCACATTTTTTGAATAGCAGGATAATCTTCTAATCCCTCTGAATCATCTCCTTAGCTACAAAAAAATGAACACCACAATAGTTTTTTGTGCTGGAATGTATTCAGCTTCATAAAGAGGAAAGTGGTGGCTATCCAGATGTGTCCAAATGACAACTTCCAACATCCTTATTTATGGTCATGCTAACTAGGTCTTCTGGAATACTAATTTAACTTTTCAAGGGCCACAATTTCTCCGTCTGTGATCTAGCTTTCCAAATCCTTACTGATTCATGAATTCTATACAATGCCTAGGAAAATGGCTTATGCAATGTGATTCTTTTAAGGAAGTTAAAAGTTAGAGGCCTGCTGTCTTCAGCCCCAGATTCTTCATCTTCTTGGACATTCCTTTTCCTCTTTTTTAGTAATGTTTTTTAAATTTTGACGTTTTATGTATTTATATGTATTTATGGTTTTAATGTTTTGTGTGAGTCACCCAGAGTCCCCCACTGGGGGGAGATGGGCGGGGGAGAAATTAAAATAAATAAATAAAATAAAATAAAGTTAGTTTCTGCTGTTATTAGTAATGTTTTTTAAATTTTGACGTTTTATGTATTTATATGTATTTATGGTTTTAATGTTTTGTGTGAGTCACCCAGAGTCCCCCACTGGGGGGAGATGGGCGGGGGAGAAATTAAAATAAATAAATAAAATAAAATAAAGTTAGTTTCTGCTGTTATCTTAAACTTCCAATGGTTTCTAACACAATTCTTTGAGTCATTTCCTGTTCAGCATGGTTGTCAAGCCATCCCTTGAGCCTCCATTTATTCAGATTTCTTAGAACTAGAAATAGTCACATATAAAAACAACTATTTGGCACAGTCTCATGAAACTTGTTTGCCTCACACACGGTCAGCAAGAAAGAACTGTCCAATTTCTCTTTCTCAAAAAAGGAGCAAGTTAAGTGGATGTCCAGGTCTTACTAGGGGTCAGGTCAAGGTGATAGTCTGGTACCTGCAGGACACTGATTGCACTCATGTTGATCACAAATGTGGTAATTCTGGTTCTCATCATCTGGTTCCACAGTGGCAGTGACCTCTGGTCTCTGCATTGGAGGAATTAGTGGCATTGCAGCTTCATGCTGGAAACAAAGACAAGAGAAGTAGGGAATAATTTTAATCTGTGCCTCTCTCAGAAGATAGCATGTTGACCTAACAAAGGCTGATGTTGCCAGATCACGATCGCTCCCATGCTCTAGCATCTCCTTTCCAGATGTAAATATACTGTATAAGAAATGCTAGCTAGCAGGTGATGGTGAAGTCCTTTGCCCAAGGTTTTAGAAAATTTGCTGCAAGTCAGTGTAGATGTAGTGAGATCAACCAAGAGTCTTGCCTGGTGTAACTCAATTAATGTTGTATCTTCCTTGTTTATCCTTATTAATTTACCTCTTTTTTATGCAACTGCATGGTTGATCACATAATTTTTCCACACAGATATTGAAATTTGCAGGCCAGGGCTATGTGCAACTTCTAAACACTTCTGGCAGCCCCCCCAAATCTTACTACCTTTTACACCTACAGAACAAACAGAGGCATAATTTCCTACTGTTTTTTAATGTTTAATGTTTTTTAATGGGAAAAAGAAATGGCTATGCTTTCATTTAGGTTGAACAGGCCTTTTAAAAAGAAAATTCTCCCTCTCAACTGTACTAGAAACCCCAACTCTGTCCACTTTAGTGATGTTAGCTTGACTTTGCCTTGCCCTTCCCAGCTATCAGTCACGTTCTTAAAACAAATTCATCTCCCATTGACCATTCTGGATATAAACCAAAGGTTCCCTATCCCAAACCAAAGACTAACTTTTATGTCCTTTCTGGAAAAAGAGAGCGAGTCTGGTGTAGTGATTAGGGGGTTGGATTATAACTGGAGTAACCCAGGTTCAAATCCACTTTTAGCCATGGAAACTCACTGGGTGATTTTAATCCAGTCACTATGTCTCTGCCCAACCCAAAATAAGAGATACTGCGTTATGTTTCTTTAATGTACTTAACTGGTTTGTTAGCATTTATAACCACGACCAGTGGGGCTAAAGCTATAACATCAAATAGGCTTAAGGCTGGGGTGGGCCACCTGTGGCCCCCAAGTCCCCTTTTGGCTGCTTTCAGAGGCCTTTCTGACCACAGCTGCTGAAAACCATTTATAGTACCATCATTTGGAGGTGGGAAAACAAAAAACTGTATTGTAGTGGAACACTTCAATAGGCGTATCACATTTTAGAAAGAAACATAAAACCGCGCAAATTCATACCACCAAACCCAGCCCTGCCTAAATGTGCTATAGGCCCCCACTCCAGTTTGCGGACTCTAACTCCCCACCACCACGTGTGGATTTAATTGCCTTTTCTGATAGAAATACAAGATCATGCACGTGTGAACTCTATTTTAGGAAGCAATGCTTTATTTTTGCTGTAAGCATTCTGAATGCTGAACTCAATCCTCAATTGCTCTATATGGCCCTAATAAAGGAACAGTCAAGTTTTCCTTGGGTTAGACTCAACTCCTGCTGACTGTGGATATATCCATGCAGTTTTCTTGGCATGATATAGAAGTACGTTACCATGGTTTTCTTCCAGGAAGTTTTTTTTCCCCCAACTTTCCTCCAACTAGTTTACAATTCTGGGGCCTCCTAGTGATCTCCCATACAAAGTCTGATGGCCATGCTTAGCTAACCTTAACTATCTTTAAAAAGCTAAGTGCCACCATCTGGCTGATAAATATGCAAAGAGCAGCTCCTCCAGCATTTTAAAACTGAATACTACTGTAGACACCATATTCAGAATCTCTGGGGGTTTCAGAATCATCACCCTAATCAGAATCTTAGAAAGCAATGTCAAAAGGGTTCAGACAATGGGTTTTTAACATACTACAATTGTTAATTGATAAGGTCCTTGTTATCTTTCTTACAGATAACCTGTATCTGCATAGCTAAGCTGTCTTGGGCCAGTGTAAAGATCTGGAAAGAATACATTAGAGAGATAACATACAGGTTCAAAATGTTCCGTAAAACCTCCTAAAATGGATTCTTATGCAAGCCATAATGACTTGCATTTCCAAAGTGTGCTAAGCCACAGTTTCTAAACTACAATGGCCCCAGGTTACAACAACACATAATTTACACCTGGATCACTGGCCAAGACTATGCAATGTTGCTAGAAAGGTTGTCATTCCAGGCGCACATTAGGGAATCTCCACAAAATAAGCATTACTGAACAACATTTGTCAATTTCCTTCCATTGTTCTTGTTGATTTGTAATTTGTATTCATTATAGAAATACAAAAAACAAGAATCAATAATCAAAACTATTTGGATCCGTCTCATTACTACTGAGCAATGGGTAAGTGTTGGCTATCATAAAGAAAGCTATGATTTATTATATTGGGGGACCTGCGGCTGTTCACCCACAGCCAGCTATTCTTGGATAACAACATGCAAGAACTCAGTAATCTGTTCCTATGTTTAGATATTTCAGGAACTTGGTTAAGAGAAGCCACCAAGTATTCAGCCAAGGTCACATGGCCCCAGGGAGTCCATCTAACTCTAGTTTCTGGCATCTGTGTTTGCTAACACACCGTTAACCTTTGGGAGGACACTGAGGCCCCAAACAATGCAAACAGAACCAACAGAATGAATTACTGATTCAGTAGGCTCATTATTAATAATGAAGTAATGTATACTATTTTTGTATTTTCATTAAATAATGGATGTTTTTATATGTTCATTATTAATAATGAAATAATGGGTAATATTTTTGTATCTTCATTTGTTGTTCTTCAGTCGTTAAGTCGTGTCCGACTCTTCGTGACCCCATGAACCATATTGC